ACAATAGTATTATTATTTTTATTATTATCGTTCTTGTGTAATCAAAATAGCAGTTGTATGACTACAACAGGTGATATCATGAATAATGAGAATTTTTTTTGTTGTCTCTCTCATTCGTATAGTCTACGATGACATATATAATAACATCTTATCAGTACGTGTTTTTATTCAATATTTATTATTATCATCATCATCTTATTAAATAGTTCTTCTTGTACATATTCAAGTGTGAGTATGAGATATAAGCATGTGCTATAAGAAAATTTAGGCATGTTGTTGTTAGTCTGATAACTGTTATCATGCATTTTGAAGGAGGATATGAAGATGATGTTGTAGTCTGGTCATGTTCACACACATATATATATATTGTCCTTCGTAAAATAAAAAGATATATTTTAAATGATGATAAGTATTTGATATATGTATAATTATTCGCTCAGTCAAAAATTTTGTATATTCAATTGTTTTAAATCATATATCTATTATCGTTTGATTTTTATTACCTATCAATAATTTTATTTTTCTTATATCAGTCAATATCTGGATTAGATATATAGAAAGCCTAGATTGATTGTATAGTAGAACAAATTACAAGAAGCCCTTTCGTCTGTACTGACCTGTTCTTTCATATATACATATACTCAACCTATTCAATCATTGTTGTCAGTATCCTTTAATGGATTGTTTAAATTCATTATTTTATTTTTGCTTATGTAATATATATATATACATTCGTTCCGGGCTATATTTCATACATATATATGTATAGACTCTGTTGTTTAATGAGTACCACTATGTATTGTATTATTCTATATAGTATTCGCGTATTCGCACACGACACCATTGTATTTATGAAAGAGAGAAGAAAGAATAATACACCTGATATATTTCGTTCCGGTTATACAATATCGACTACTGTTGTTGATCAGCAGTAGTAAGTTGAAGATATCAATCAACAATAACAAATGTTAGTAGTAGTTCTACTTGTCGTTTGATTTGAATAGGCAATCAGAGTAAATACGGTTGATTGAATGTGTCAGTAAGAATGATTATTACGTACATATCTAAAATGTGTGTTTATTCATGCACATTGTTCAAAAATCATTGAATGTATAAGATACGATAATCAAGAACCTTCAATTTTTCTTCAATTGCAAGATAAACTATGCGGTACGTTTTTTTTCTGTTGTTCTTGAAAACTTTTTGCTTCCGCTTGATGTAATAGTTTATATCATAACTGACCATTTACTTTGTTCATTTTATTCTCTTTCTTGACTTCATTCAATACGAAAATGGCCTTCTTTGAACAAACATTATCAAGAAGAAAAAAAATCGACTTCAAAAGAATGAGTTGCATAAGTTATATCTCTTTTACTCAACCATTATAATCTTTTCATAAAATGTACATGACAAACATGTGTGTATATATCGGTCATTGAAAAAAGTCATGCCATTAAGTTTTCTCGAATGGTCTCTATTTGTTGGTTGATTGTTTTCTACTATATGTTATTTAATGTATGTATACAAGCGAACATACACATTGATCGACAACGATGAATACTTAATAAAGTAGTATGGTCAATTCTAATTTTACATATCGTTTTATTGTGATCTTTTCTTGTTCGTTGTGTAAGGAATATATAAATAGGCGTCTAATATCGATCTTCTCGATTGATACGTATTTACAAGTAGGTGTGAGATTCCGTTTACCCTTTCTTCTTTTTTTTTTTGGTGTTCATTTTTGAAGAGCACGACACATCGAGAATAGCAACAATAAAAGTATTATTCAAAAACGTGACTTATTCAAAATGAAATATTGATGAAGATACCCTTGCATAAAAAAAAATGGAACGATCAGATTTCGATTAGACTTTAGACGATTCTATTGTCTTAACATATATCTATCAATGTTTTATTAATTGATTTCTTCTTTTTCTTCTTGTAGATGTTAGAAAGATATTCACTTTTCGTATGAGTCATCATAAAATTTCAATGTTGCAACGAATATTTTTCCTCATATTGATGTTTTTTTTTATTATTAATAATGTTCAAACAACATCGAGTAAATATAAAACAAAAAAGAAAATCTCATTATTTTTTTTTTCAATATGCATTATTTTGCTTTAGTAAAAAGACGAAGTCATGAAGCATTTCAAGTACTTAAAGAGGCTAAAGAAAAAGTAAAACATGGAATACGTATGTATTATGCTGAGAAAAATAAAACAACAGTTAAATATTAATTTATTTTTATTTTGGTTTAGAGTGTCTTCCACCATCAAAATATTTTGCTGGTTCATGTTATACATACATGAAAACATTACCAGCTTCATCATGGGAGCGTGCTCATAATAATTGTTTATCATTACCAATGATAAAAGATGCCAATTTATTAGCTATTGAATCAATTGATGAATATGAATTTATTGAACGTGAACTTATTGGATTAAAATCAGGATCAGAAAGTGTTTCAGTATATATTGGATTACGTAAAATAAATAGTATGAATTTTCAAATTTGATAAAAAAAATATAAAATTCTTAATTTTGAATTCTTTTGAGATACTTGGTTATGGTCTAATGATGTACCATTGAAAGAAACACCTGTTTATCGATTTTGGGTTGATAATAATCGAGATATTCTTGCATATGATTGTGGTATTCTTTGGCTTGCTAGAAATACAAGTGTTATTACGCCAGCACCATGTGTTGAACAAGCTTTACGACCGTATGTTTGTAAACAAAGTAAGTTTAACAATATGAATGAAAGTTTCAAAGAAAATATTCTTTATTTTATTTATTATTATAGCAATTGATCGATGTTATAATCATAGTAGTAATTGTGGTAAATATGGAAAATGTATTAATTTACCCTCGATGAATTCACATAAATGTCAATGTCGATTTTTTTATACGGGAGATCAATGTGAAAAATGTAAATTTGTCATATTTTTTATTATTATATTAAATGGAATCAATATTTTTCAGGGAGTAATCAAGGTTTACAAGTCATTATTGGTTGTATAATTGTTGTGATTGCATTTATTGCTTCGTATATTATTAATTTTGATCGATCAGAAGATTCTTGGTCATTTAAAAAGTCTAACTACGAGCAATATCAAACGTAAGTTTATCTTGAAAACTTTTTTCTAGATAAGAGAATTATATCTCGACCAATCAAAAAGTAGTGGTGATGAGTAGAGATGTGCAGGGCTAGTTCGAATCTCAATTCTGGTGACTGGAACCAGGACTAGGGTCAAAACTAGAACTCTACCGGGATTGAGATCGAAAAAACTTGATCTTGCACATCTCTAGTGGTGACACTTTAATATCAAATAGAAAATTTAAGGAAATCTTCTCTCTATATGTACTAATAGTATTAACAATCCACTATAGTTCTGCAATATTTTATCAATCTTCAACTCTTCTGTCTCCACACACACATTGAATAACTGTCCGCTGAACCTCTAATTTGTTTCGCAAGGCAAACGTTTTAGATATACGCTTTTATTTCGATTAACTTGTTTTGCGTTGTAGCTCTGATTTGATCCATTTACAAGCACAGATGTGCATAAGATTCAATAAATTGGAGTTTTCAAACTGTCTGAGACCTCTTGTTCGAGCTATGATAATTACCGATGAACCGAAAATTGACTTCTATATTATTCTTGCTCCATGTTATCGGATAATCTGAGTAATTACGTTCATTACATAACTTCTTCCTCTTTCACACGTTCATCTGTCGTGCGCACTTCATGAGTCTTGATGTGGACACGTGAGATCATACTTATTATGACACTTTGGTTTGAGAAACTATCAAGTTTTGGAGAAGTTAAGAAAATACTTTTCTAAAGCATGAGCCGATACAGCTTAGTCTGATGATTATCTTACCTGAGAATCTTGTATACAGTTCAGAAATACAAGGAAGTATATTTCAATTATTTTAAAAGAATTATAAGGTAAACCTTTTACTATAACATGAGGGCTTTTCATTTTTATGACATAGATTGCTCGGATTTTACGAGTATTTTAATAATCGATGTCATACTTATCTCATAGTGTTTTTTTCATTTGCCACTAAAAAACATAAAAATTACCTAAGAATAAAAGATTTTCAAAAAGCAATAACTCGATCAACAAACACAGACCAAAATAGATATACAAATAATAATTGACAAAAACACAGTTTTTAATAAGCTTACAATATGTCACTATATTATACAATATCCTATTGTACTGTATACATTTATTTGATGGTCAATGTACAGAAAAAAAAGCGGTAATGACCGATGAAAATTATAGAAACATCTTTTAACTAATAAAAAATGTTTGTGTGATGCTGCTTATGAGAAAATTCATTTCTCTGTTTTCGATATATATTTCTCATCATCATAACTTTTGTATTGAGAAAAAAATTCAATTTTTAGCCAAAATCATCTTATCAGCTCGTCTACCTAGAGAATCATCGGTTAATCGCAGTTTACCGGTGGTATCTTAAAAAAGCGATGACATGGATACAGACAGAATATTTCCTTAAGCTTCCTATAGGATATTAAAGTGCAACTAAGGATATACATTTTCAGCTTACTGACCACTGACGTCACCGACACAATGTTGTCTCAATGTTGAAGCAAATACAGACGTCAATACTTCAGTGAACACCGATGTTAGTAGAGCTCTTAATAGCCTTTTGAAGTGAAATGGACTAAAATTTTCACACACTGTTGGATGTAGTTTCTTTGGCAAAAAAGGAACTGAGAAAAACTATCTTTTTACACTTGTCTGACAGTTTTCTGAAAAACAACGAGAAATTTACGTTGACGCGACGTGAAAACATTGGAGAACCTAGGTCATCCTAGCTTCTTCCACGTCAAGACCTATGGATACCAATGTAATCAGTACCTCAGAAATTCTGTGTCGGTGATTCAATGCTCAGTATTTACATTCTAAGTACCATTGTCACTACTTTTGAATTGTTGTAAATCAATCCATTTTCATGTTTCGATGTGTGCTAGACGTCAATCTAATTTTACAAGAGAATCGTCAAAGAAAATTAATCATGGAATTTCCAATTCTCATTTAATTAATAGTTCTACACCAAAGGAAAAACATCATTGGTGTACTTCATCAATACGATTAGATAAACATAAAGAACGATATTCATTTTCTCTTAATATTCGTAATCTTTTTTTTAAACAAAAAAGATTTATTCTTATTATTTTATCTATAATATTAACAATTCTTATTTGTATGATTATAATTGATGCACGAAATTATATAAAAAAAATTGTTGGTCATTCAACACGATTATTTCAATTTTGTATATTATATCAAAATAATTATTATCATAATTTATTAACATTACCTATTGCTTTAGTTATTATTTTATTAATTATAATTAATCAAACACGAAAAGAATATTATCAATTAAATAAAGAAAAATTTTCAATTTATATTCCAATACCATTTAATCCATTTTCAAAAACAAATCGTTTTGATACAATGATTTTATGTGGTATTGTAAGTCATGAAATATTTGAAATTATTGAAGAAATATTTCTAAAAACAACACAAATTAAATTACTTACAATGACCGGTCCATTATTTGATCTTATTCGACAAATTGGTCTCATTATAATTGTTGGTCTACGTTATTATCCTATTTATTCAGTTTTTGAAATATCTAATGGTAATATTCTTTATTATGTTTTGTGTTCATTTTATATGTGGCTAGATTTAATTCTAAGAATATTTGAACAAGTATTTTGTGTTAATATTAATCCATTGATTCGAGCATGGAAAAAATTTGAACAATTTAAAAATGAATTAACGACAAAATATGAATCAAATGCATTAGCTATGACAACAACAATGTTTATGTCGGAATATGAAGATATTCATTCAGAAGCATTTAGAGGCCGTTTTCATAGAGTTAAAGATCGATTATCATTTCGAGGAACAAAGCCGATAACTACAACCATCGCTTCAACAATTCAAGTAAGAGAATTTATTATATATTTTAGTGTCTTTTCAGACTTATAAGTGATTAGATAACATAATTTAAAAAAAAGGATCTTATAAGGCAAAGCCCATAAATGATGAATGCCGATTGAATTGTTCTTTTTGTTGATAAGTAGGCTTAATTTCATAATTTGAGGAGAATCGAGTTTTCTTGAAAATTCAATATTTCGAGAAGAGACCATTTATTTTCGCCTAAGCTTGCAGAATCTTCTGAGATTTATTAGATGTACACATGGACAAAATTTCAGATCGAATGTCGATTGTTAGATGTTGTCTCCGTTATAAAATCTGACTTTGACGCTGAAAACTCATTAAAACAGCTGTATCTTTGAAAAGAAGGTCTAAGAGTGTTCTTTTCTCGCTAGAAAACTACATCATATGTAACTTGTTCTTTGTGCTCATACTATACCCAGACGGAAGTCTCGATAGGAGTCGAAAACAGCTGAAACTATTCGTTCCTATGGATTTTTGGAGCCGAGGTATGATCGTTTGACTAAATTTTGACCCAGTTTTAGATATTTTCTGAGAAATCAAATAATGAAGTTTCGATCTAAAGTTTTGCTCATAGATTGATCTAATGATTCTTAAATTATCCTGAAAATTTCATCCGAAAAGATATTGAATTTCGACGAAATGATCGTTTACCATAGACATATCACAAAAATCAAGTCTACTTGAATATTTAATATCTCGACAAAGAAACATTCGTAAAGTCATTAGATCTATCTATGGGCAAAGCTTCAGAGCAAAGTGTCATAGTTTTGTTTCTCTATACATACTTTAAAATGGGCCAACAATTCAGTTCAACGACCATAAATAGGCTTCAAATGCTCATGGGAATGAACCATTTTAACATTTTCTGAGTCTTACCAAGACTGTTCTGGGTCTAATACGAGTTCAAATATCAGTTTACGGTTGGAGTAGTTCAGTCATCAACCTATCTTAACTTTACTGAGGCTCACTTAAGGGTAAAAATCAGCTCTATGGAAGTGAGTTACTTGAAGATCTTTCCTCATTAATTATAGTGTTGTACGAAAGAAGCCCAAGTTTTCTGGCAGTTAAAAGTCACATTGAATAGTTTTTATATTTCGATTTAATGCGTATTGATAGGATTTAAACCATTGCTTGAGACATATCTATATTCAGTAGTAATAATCTTAAATCCTAATAAACTTCTTCAAAACTTTTATATTCACCTTAGTTTTCATAAATGAGTTTATCTTTCCTCTAAAGAGAAAAAAATCAATAGTTGTAAACTAAGAAGATAATTTATATTTTCTTTCAGCCATCTTCACTACATCTTCATTCGTTAAACTGGTCATCAATAGATTTCAATATTTCCATGTTTATTCATCATAATGATTCTCAATCTACATTCGATCAATTTGGTATTGATCGTTCAATAGTTTGTGTACTTAAGTATGCACCTTATTATTTATGTTTTACATATATTTGTTTTCGATTAACATATCTTTTCATAATTAATATTTATCATATATTTCTTTCTTGTGATAATACAACAAATTCTATTAAAAAACCATTAAAACATATTTATCATAAACCAACAAATTCCTCAAGAGAAATTCTTTCCATTGAATATCATTATGTTCGTCATTTATTTGAAAAATCATTCGAAAGATTAATAAAAAATAAAAATAAAATTTCTCTATTTAAAAGTTTACTTTATAAAATTTATCGACCAAATAAATATTTTCATTATTCAAAACAAATATTAAATATATATATGATTGCATTTATGTTAATATATTATTTAACATTTAATATTCTACAAAATGGTTTTAATCTGATTGAAAAATTTTATAGTTTTACTATAATACCATTATTAATTCTTTATGATGAACTTGATTTACCTGAACCAAAACTATTTAATCTTAAATATGAAATGATTTTATCATGTTTTTTAACAGCAATTATTTATTTTATACAACTATTATTCGGAATGAAAAAATATCAAAAACATATGCTTGATGCTTATAAAGGTATTTTTATTGATATTCCACCACGATCGGCATTTAAAAATGTTCGATTTATGTTAAAAAATATACATTATCCTGGATATTGTATTGCATATCTTACTATTGGATATATTATTATAGGCAATATGATTTTTTTTGCTTTAATTGCTTTACATGTTTTATTTAAACATTTATTTCTTATTGAAGAATTTGCAAATATATTTATACCTATTCTTGTTATTTATTTAACAATATTTATTATACAATGGTTTTTATCAAGAACGTTCTTTTTACAAAAGTAAGTCTATTAAATAATATCATAAAGATTTTCAATAGTTCGAAACTCTCTTTTGTTCAAAAAAATTTTGAATAACAATTCAGAGAATTCATTTAGCTTTTACATCAAAAATAAAATATGTCATTTTATAGATATATCTCTTTATCTGTCTGCAAACCACTCATTTATTATCATCATGCTTTATAAGTGTAGTTATATATATATAATGGACGTTATGGATACATTTTTGGACTTTGTTTTGCAATTAGTCATTGCTCGATAATTGAGAATGGACGGTTTTGAAGGGGTTCGATCGAATTAATTTGAGATTAGAAACATTAAAAAAGCGGATAGTCAAGACATTTTTCAGATATGATACGAGTCAATTTCGGAATTGCTTTCTTTAGAGCAAAACCAAAGAGAACTTGATCCTGACTATCTCTAGTTACGACAAACTTGTAATGTGTCTATATGACGAATATATTTAATTTTATGAAAGTCACATAACTGTGGATGAACGTTTAATTTTAAATTCGAACCTTTTTCTATTTCCTTTATAATCGCGTCTAACAGACACTAGTCCTTAAAAGCACTTCCTTTTTTGTTTTACAGAATTCATATTCAGAACCAACTCAGTCTTCATATAAAATCTTGTTGTATTTAAACCAGATGTTATAACAATAAATAATTCGAGTAGAGTACAGTCAACAATAACAACACATTGTAGGTAATTTATAGAAGTTGATCTGTTGACATTATCAAATAATCTACTATCAAGAATAATGAATTTGTGATATCATCTTTCAGTTTGATGAAAACATGATTTGGGTTGTTCTTCATTGAATTAGCATATTTTGTTATTTTGCTCGTATTTTGTTCGTCAAGTAAATAACGCTAATGATACGAGTCATTGTACTTTTGCACATACCACTAGTATGGTTAGTCGTTTTGTAACTGAACACACTAACATAATCTATAGAATTGTCATCACTCATGGTTACGACCGTGACCAAAAAATAGTGGTCTCGTATTGAAGTTGCATATCTTGAACATTATCTTACAAAGTGCAACACATGTTATATTAGTATATATTCAAATATTCAGATTTCGTATCTTTGAACGAACTGGATAAGATGACTTATGTTTATAAAATATGATCTAAAAGAGGTAGAAATTTGGATTCCCTCTTCTCTCAAAGACTGTGACAGACATGATCATGAGACTAAAAGTTTACTGCAGCGTTATAATAAAAGATCATTGAATTGAAGATATCAGTAATTGCCTCTCTTTCTAAACTTACTGTAATCTATTGTAATTAGCATCTTTCATCATGGGCATACATTCATAGTACGTCGAAATTCACAAATCGAAACATACATTACCACATCTTCATATTTACAGTATACATAGTTCCATCGTGTTTCAAATTTTAATCCTACAGGAATTGTACTAATATCTTTTTATGAAGGCTTTATTTGAATCTAATTTCAATAAATAATTACTGTAATCAGTATAGAAAATAAGATAGTGTACGAAGACATAACTGATTTTGCCGATGATATCTATGTGTGTTCTTTGCAGTAATGTTCTTATGCTTCTGCATTTTGTAAATAATATTTAAATTATTTTAGACATGGAAAAACGATGATATTAAAAAATCTCCGAATCTATTTTGTGTTTGCTTATTTCAATTTTTTCTTCGATTGTTCTCTTGGTATAGTATCTTGTATGTTTCGTGTATCAAAAGCATGGATAACTAATTTTGGTTTTTTGCCACGCTTGGATTATTGTATACTTGGACGATCATTAGAAAAGATGGATTCAGGTTTTATATCATATGCATCCTTTATTCATATGGAATGTATTCATACACATCCTGTACTTGTTTATTTTTGTTCGATTGTTAATGAAAATATTAATAAACGTTATCAATACTTACGAACATCAAAACGAGATATTTATTTATATACAAAACAACAACAGATTATATTTCGTTGGTGGCTAGCAATAACATTAACTCGAAATAGACAATTAATACAATTAAGAAAATATCAATTTATGTATTTACAAATATCAAGAATAGAAAGTTTTAATGAATTATTTGAAAAAAAATTATTGAAAAATTTTCAAAATTGTAAAATAATAACAAAAAATCATGAAAGAATTAATTCAAATACGATTATTCGAAATCATACAACAACTTGTACGACTTTATTACTTGATGCTAATGAACAAGATGATCGAAAATCATTATTTTAAATTATTATATTGTGTATGTTGTTTTGTCTTTCAGTCATATATTAATGTTTGTTCAATGATAACAGTTCCATCAAACATTTATATTTGTTTTGATTTGTTTTTTTTTACCGCTGTTACTTGTATAAAAAATAGTATTATAATAGCATTGTATTTCTAGCTTGTTTTCTTTGCGTTCATTTTGAGTATGTATGTGTATGTGTCGTATATCTTTGTAGTCTATTTTTTGATAAAGAACAGGTTTTAAATGATTTGGTTGTGCTTATAGTACGCCAAATGTGATTTATAACGATGACACAAAAAATTGAATTATTGGTTATGATCATAGCAACTGAAACAAACTTCTTTCAAACAATAATGCTTTTTAAATAGAGGATCGTGATTCAAGTGTATGTGGCAACAATAATAATTATTGTAAAGCATCTCTTAAATGAACACATTTTGGGACTTTTGAAAAGTGCTTGCCATTCAAAGGTGTTCACATATGGGAGATTTTTATATATGTACAGTAAGAAATGAAAAAAGAATTTTCAGAATATAGGCTTCTTTTACTAATTTTGGGGTTATCGGAAACTATCGTCTGTGGTGTTCATCTTTCTTCATTCTTATTTTTATGAATCTGCGAAATTTTCCACAGAATACAAAAATTCATTTTGTTTCGTAAAGTTCTGTATTATTATCTCGGTTTCGATATATAAGGGTGATTCCATGGAGTTTATACCACTTTGGTGGAAGTGGTCTTGGATTTTCATTTTCGTCTTCTAATTCACCCGAAGACAGTCTGAAAAGCATCCAGCAACAACAAATTGAGAACTTGTCCAATGAATAGTGACCACCCGTGGACAACGCGAGG